TAATACAGATTGACTCCCTGTGTAATACAGACTGACTCCCTGTGTTATACGGACTTACACCCTATGTAATGTAGACAGACTCATTGTGTAATACATGTAAAGGCAAATCTACACATTGGAACACATGAAAGAATACTTTTGTGTGGGCAGTTATTGTTAATTGACTTACACTCGATTCCTTACGAAGTGGAAGAAAATCAATTCACATGAAGTATTACCTGTACATGCAATTGCTTCAATATAACAAATAGCTGAAGATTGTCTATGCTGCAAATACTTGTCTATAAGATATTCTTTTGCAAATGTCTGTCTACTTTGTCTGCTTCATAGTTAACACAAGAATACCAATCTACAAATATGCTATATATAGCAATAATCTGTCAATACGATCTTCTGTATACGCTAACAAATATCTAACGTTACAACATGACAGTCTATGTATGTGCAAAAACATGTCTGCGTTAACTTCTAAAAAATAGAAAATAGAGGGAGTCTTCCTTTCTACTTGAAAAGAAGACTTTATTATATCTTGAGCGTTTGTTTATAGTTTGATGGATAACCATGCATTTATTCAAATTTTGGTATTTTAGGGCGGGACGGGACGCGAGCCTATGTGTCCGGGGACTTTACAGAAGCCGGGTTAATAGACGATATTACGGGACTATCCCTTACAGACATCCGGGGCCTGGACGACTGGATCAAGTTTTACAAGAAAGATTACATCTATGTCGGTAATGTTAACGTGAAAATTCTACAAGAAAGATTACACCTACGTCGGTAATATTAACGTGAAAATTCTAAAAGAAAGATTACACCTATGTCGACAAGGTTAAAGTGAAAGTTCTACAAGAAAGATTACACCTACGTCGGTAATATTAACGTGAAAATTCTAAAAGAAAGATTACACCTATGTCGACAAGGTTAAAGTGAAAGTTCTACAAGAAAGATTACACCTATGTCGGTAAGGTTAACGTGATAGTTCTACAAGAAAGATTACACCTACGTCGGTATAGTTAACGTGAAATTTCTACATGAAAGATTACACCTATGTCAGTAATGTTAACGTGACCATTCTACAAGAAAGATTACACCTAAGTCGGTAAGGTTAACGTGAAAATTCTACAAGAAAGATTGTACCAACGTCGGTATAGTTAACGTGAAAGTTCTACAAGAAAGATTACATCTATGTCGGTAAGATTAACGTGAAAATTCTAAAAGAAAAATTACACCTATGTCGGCAAGGTTAAAGTGAAAGTTCTACAAGAAAGATTACTCCTACGTCGGTATAGTTAACGTGAAAGTTCTACAAGAAAGATTACACCTATGTCGGTAAGGTTAACGTGAACATTCTACAAGAAAGATTACACCTATGTCGGTAAGGTTAACGTGATAGTTCTACAAGAAAGATTACACCTACGTCGTTATAGTTAACGTGAAAGTTCTACAAGAAAGATTACATCTATGTCGGTAAGATTAACGTGAAAATTCTAAAAGAAAAATTACACCTATGTCGGCAAGGTTAAAGTGAAAGTTCTACAAGAAAGATTACACCTACATCGGTAAGGTTAAAGTGAAAATTCTACAAGCAAGATTACACCTACGTCGGTAAGGTTAACGTGAAAACTCTACAAGAAAGATTACACCTACGTCGGTAAGGTTAAAGTGAAAATTCTACAAGAAAGATTACACCTATATCGGCAATGTTAACGTGAAAATTCTACAAGAAAGATTATACCAACGTCGGTATAGTTAACGTGAAAGTTCTACAAGAAAGATTACATCTATGTCGGTAAGATTAACGTGAAAATTCTAAAAGAAAAATTACACCTATGTCGGCAAGGTTAAAGTGAAAGTTCTACAAGAAAGATTACACCTACATCGGTAAGGTTAAAGTGAAAATTCTACAAGCAAGATTACACCTACGTCGGTAAGGTTAACGTGAAAACTCTACAAGAAAGATTACACCTACGTCGGTAAGGTTAACGTGAAAACTCTACAAGAAAGATTACACCTACGTCGGTAAGGTTAACGTGAAAATAATTATACAAGAACACACTTCCGTAAGGTTAACGTGAACATTCTACAAGAAAGATTACACCTAAGTCGGTAAGGTTAACGTGAAAATTCTACAAGAAAAATTACACCTACGTCGGTAATGTTAACGTGAACATTCTACAAGAAAGATTACACCTATGTCGGTAAGGTTAACGTGATAGTTCTACAAGAAAGATTACACCTACGTCGGTATAGTTAACGTGAAATTTCTACATGAAAGATTACACCTATGTCAGTAATGTTAACGTGAACATTCTACAAGAAAGATTACACCTAA